CCCCCAAACTCCAGACTGCCGCCCCTACCCTTCCAGGACCAGCACGTTGGGTGCAGGCCCAGCCCATAGGCCGGGGGGCTGGCCAGACAGCCAAGGGGGCTGAGCTGTACCTGGTGACATCCCAGAGGACTGCAGCCAGAAAGGGGGTCACCCCCTTGGTGACCGTCCCAGGCTGGTGTGGGAAAAGGCCAGGGGAGTCGGTCCAGGGACCCCGAGCCTCCCCTTCCCCATCTGTAAAGTGGGTGCCAGTCACCGCAGGGAGCGGATGAGTTCATCCTGCAGACACATGCACCCTTGTATGTCACAAAGTCCGTGCCCAGGCGGCGCCATAGTCCGTGCCCAGCGGGGTGCCTGATGGGTAATAGTGACCCCTCCTTCAACAGAGCCGCCAGGCCAGATACCAGAAACCTCGCTCCCTCTGCCTCTCCCAGGTACTCGTCCTCCGGCCACCGCTTGGCCAACTCCCCTGTGCAGGCCATTCAAGTTCATTGTCCCCTTTGCCACATGGCTGAGCATGGGCTCAGTCAATCACCCAATTATTGACCGCTGAGTGCAAGCCCCTGAAGCTTCCTGTTTGGCCAGTTCAGCTTTCACCCCCAGAGGCATTTTGGAACCTTCCCAAGACAAAGCGCGGAAGGAAGGAAGGAAGTGCCACCCTGTGGACAGAAACGATAGCAGTCCCTGCGGCTCCTGGCCTTCACCTCCAACCACAGATCACAGAACGCAAGGTGGATTAGCCTTGGCCCCGGTTTTATTGGGGAAACTGGCATTGATGGGACCAAGGTCATCCCTCGACCCAGGCAGCCTGACCCAGCTGTGCTCTTCCCCACCCCCTGCCCCTGCCCCGCGGTCCGTTCCTGCCAAGCCTTCCCTCTGCTGTGGCATATTTCTAGTTGCCCTTTTAAAAAAATAATTATCACTATTTTAAAAAATATTTGTATTGATTTTTAGAGAAGGAAGAGGGAGAGAGAGAGAAGCATTGATGTGAGAATGGAACATCAATCGGTTGCCTCCTGCACAGCCCCTACCAAGGATCAGGCTGAAACCCAGGCACGTGCCCTCACTGGGAATTGAACCGAACTGGCAATCCTTCAGTGCACGGGACGATGCCCATCAACTGAGGCACACTGGCCAGGGCATCACTAGTTATTTTTAATTGTAGTTCAATACACATAAAATTGATCATCTTAACCATTTTTCACTTTTTAAAATATATTTTTATTGATTTCAGAAAGGAAGGGAGAAAAGGATAGAAACATCAATGATGAGAGAGAATCACTGATTGGGTGCCACCTGCACACCTCCTACTGGGGACTGAGCCCGCAACCCAGGCATGTGCCCTGATTGAGAATGGAACTGTGACCTCATGGTTCATGGGTCAATGCTCAACCACTCAGCCACACCAGCCAGGACATCCCCTACCATTTTTTAAAAAATATATTTTATTGATTTTTTACAGAGAGGAAGGGAGAGGGATAGAGAGTTAGAAACATCGATGAGAGAGAAGCATCGATCAGCTGCCTCCTGCACACCCCCTACTGGGGATGTGCCTGCAACCAAGGTACATGCCCTTGACCGGAATCGAACCTGGGACCCTTCAGTCCCCAGGCCGACGCTCTATCCAGTGAGCCAAACCAGCTAGGGCCCCTACCATTTTTTTAAAAAGATATTTTTATTTATTTCACAGAGGAAGGGAGAGGGAGAGAGAAATAGAAACATCAGTGCTGAGAGAGAATCATTGATCAGCTGCTTCCTGCACGCCCCCAACCGGGCATCGAGCCCGCAACCTGGGCATATGCTCTTGACTGGAATCGAACCTGGGACCCTTCAGTCCACAGGCTGATGCTCTATCCACTGAGCCAAACCTGCTAGGGCTCCCCTACCACTTTTAAGTGTATAGTTCAGTGGGATTAGGTACATTCACATTGACCATCCATCTCCAGAATTTCCTCATCTTCCCAAACAGAACCTCTGTCCCCATTGAACACTCCCCATCCTTACCCTCGGCAGCTGGCACCCACCATCTACTTTCTGTCTCTGAATCTGGCTCCTCTAGGAACCTTCTGGAACTGCAATGTCTGTTCTTTTGTGACTGACACCTCACTGAGCAAGGTTCATGTTGTAACATATGTCTGAATGTTCTTTTTAAGACTGCTTATTCCATTGTATGAATACAGCCCATTTTCTTTATCCATGAATTTATCGATAGACATGGGTTGTGTCCACCTCTTGGCTATTGTGAATAACACTGCTATGAACGTCGGTGTACTGCTTTTAATTCTTTGGGAGTCTATATACTTAGAAGTAGAATTGCTGGATCACATGGTAATTTTTTGTTGTTGTTGTTAATCCTCACTCGAGGATTGTGTGTGTGTG